TTTTTCTTTATCAACCCGATTCCTTTACTTCAAATTTCCCTATTTACCCCAACACCTATTTAAGCTCGGCCTTGTGGGTTCGCTGGGCTCGGCTTGGCCGTTCGGGGGCGGAGCGTGGGTTACACCGGGGGCGGAGCCATGCAAATGAGGTGGGACTGTGAGCATCACTGCTCCGGTATGTAAATAAGGGGGTGGTGCCATGCAAATTAGGAGAAAAATAACAAATATAGATTGCTGTATGTAAATGAGGGGGCGGTGCCATGTAAACGAAGAGGGCCGTGACCATCCCGGGAGCCTGCACGTAAATGAGGGGGCGGTGCCATGCAAATGCCCGCCGTCAGTGACAAGATGGCGGCAGCGGCGGCGCGGCGGGCGCAGCTGGTGCTGGGGCACCTCTCGGGGGCCTCCCCGGGCCCCGCGGCCGCCCCGAGGGCTGTGCCCTGTGCCGGGGGCCCCCCGCGGGCCGCCAGCCCCGACGACGTGGTGGTGGTGCACGGCCGCAGGACCGCCATCGGCCGCGCCAAGCGCGGCGGCTTCAAGGTACGGATGGGAGGGTCCTGCCCGCCTACCACCCCCCCCGCCTGCCCCTCACAGGTGCTGGGATCCCCTCCCTCGCATACCTGGGTGCTGGACGCCCAGCTGCCGCCCAGGAGCTGCTCTACTCTGAAAAAGTGTAAAAAAAAAAGAACGTTTTGCGATGGTTTTAATGCTCGGGGTGGGTGGTCCAGGTGTGGCAGGGCCGGTGGCGTCCCCCAGAAGAGCGGGGCAGTGTCCCGAGGGGTCTCCTGGGACCAGCCACAGTCTCCGCTGTCACCCCCCCTGGCACGTGGAGCATCCCCTTGGAAAAGCAGCGTGGCCTTCACCTCCTCGGACCTGCCACCCTTCTGGAACCCGCGGCCACAGAGCCCTCAGCGAGAACGTAGTGCCAGGATGGCCCTGAAGGATGCGCGTTGTCATCCTTCAGAACGGGTCTCGCTCGTCATGCTGGGTGCTTCTCACCAGTTGAGGGGCCACAAAATAAATTCTTTCACAAAATTAGTCAAGGGGCTCAGTTTGCTGAATCTTGTCACATAACTCACTGTACTTGTTTGATTTTGAAGGCCCAGTACAGTGTGTTCCTATAAAAACGGAGGTCAGGTGAGAAAGCAGTGTGTGTGTTCAATTGCTTGAAAGACACTTGGGGTGAAGACAGAGTAACTCTGTTGCAGCAGGAAAACAACCACCAGTGTGAGCTGAGAAGTGGAGCAAAGCTGCTTTAGCCCACACATCAGCCCTCTGGAGTGGTCTGTGTGAACTGGTGGCAGGGCTGTGACTGGTGTTCACTGGTGGCACTGATCCCCTGTGCTCTCAGGACACGACACCCGACGAGCTGCTGGCTGCCGTGATGACAGCTGTCCTCCAGGATGTCAACCTCCGTCCTGAGGCCCTGGGAGACATCTGTGTGGGTGAGTGAGAACCTCCTGGTCCAGGTGGCTCTGTGGGATATGCTGCTCCTGGTGGCTCTGTGGGACATGCTGCTCCTGGTGTCCTGTGGGATA